TTGGTCCCGTTTCGATATCTTGAAAATTGGCAAAGTTAGCTATATAGGGCTTGTGCAAAAATTGAAAAGCGCGGTATCTCCGAACCCTTCGAGGTACAAACGAAAGTGAGGGAGGTACAAACGGGTACAAACGATTCTCTTTCGAATGCCGTTGGTCCCGTTTCGATATCTTGAAAATTGGCAAAGTTAGCTATATAGGGCTTGTGCAAAAATTGAAAAGCGCGGTATCTCCGAACCCTTCGAGGTACAAACGAAAGTGAAGGAGGTACAAACGGGTACAAACGATTCTCTTTCGAATGCCGTTGGTCCCGTTTCGATATCTTGAAAATTGGCAAAGTTAGCTATATAGGGCTTGTGCAAAAATTGAAAAGCGCTGTATCTCCGAACCCTTTGAGGTACAAACGAAAGTAAGGGAGGTACAAACGGGTACAAACGATTCTCTTTCGAATGGCATAAATGAAATTAAAAAATATTAAACTTGGGCGCTGGCCATTTTTTGTATTTCATTTTTTGTTTAACTGTTTGAGGTACAAACGAAAATAAGGGAGGTACAAACGGGTACAAACGAAGTACAAACGCCCTACGGTATTAATTTTTAATTTTGATAAAGTTGGGCGCCAGGTTCACACCGGTTTCACCTCGAGTTTGCGCAGTTCGATGGCGATCAAATTTTCTACAAAGACGCTACGACTATGAAAATTCGGTTTCGCGATCATTGCCTCCGCACCGTACCGTTTTCCGTCCCATTTCGTTATCAATTTCACATCGACGTGATTTCGAACGTTTTCCATAGTTTTACCAAATACCGCATTGTTCATTCATTTGCACAAATTTTTTTCGAAATCATTTCTCGCGCGCGTTCTAAATTGCGTATTCAATTCAATATATAATCACGGAGCCAGACGGATTGAGTGAATTGCAGTACCCTATGTATCTTCATTATGCGAAGACCGTGACGAGTACATTGCTGCAGATTGCGATAGTGGATGACGTAACGCTGCTTATCGTATAGTGTCGCGAGAAGTTTATCCTCGCGCTTGCCGGGCAGTTTATCACGCGTCGGGCAGAAAGGCAAGTCAGTGTGTCGATCGTGTAGATGTTGTGGATACTCGAAATCGACCTCGAGAATATAACCGGTGGACGAATCCGGAGCGACTGCGCTCGCGTCGAAGTTAGCAGCGTCTTCGACCCATCGAAAGTCGGCGTATAGCAATGGTTGACACATCGCCCATCCATATAGATTGTTAACATCGTAGTACATTAAGTATGACGACGGTTTCGATGGATCGTACGAACGCATATACTTGTTATTGGCCTGCGCGTATCTGGAACATTGGCTGAGGCCACC